ACAAGAAATACCATATAAATGTGAGTTATTATTATTAGTGGGAATTGACTTAGAAAAAGTCCTTTTCTTGGAATGTAATTTGAAAGGCAGAATGAATAGAGCATTGGACTTGGAGTCAGTTCTAAATCCCAGGTGGTGAGTTCCATGAAGGCAGGGATTGATTTTCCTTTTCTTTCTATCTTGAGCACTTAGCACAGTGCCTGGCACATAGTAGGCACTTAGAGAGTGCTTGTGAACTTGGCTGCCTGGCTTACTTACCACCTGTGTGACCACAGGCAGGCACTAAGGCTGCCTGAGATTCAGATCCTCATCTCTAGAGTGAGGGGCTTGGCCTACCTGGCTGGGCTTCGGAAGTCCTCTCGAGTTCTAAATCTATGGTCCTATCCTGCCTCTGGGTCTTGTTTTCCTCATCTGGGGTGTAGAACGGTGCACGTAATGTCAGACTCAGCTGATGTGTTGGCTGGTTTTGCTGAATTGCCTGATTTTTTCCCTCTTTTTGTGCAATTTTTTACACAAGGGCTGACTTGCTTGCTGGAGGAGCAGGGAAAGAATAAGTCAAAGGAATCTGTAGAAATTAAATACTCGACAGAAACCTGTCGGACTGTTTTCTGAGTTATGAGCCCTACGTTAAGGACGAGTTCTAACCCTCCCCCAGAAGCTCATGTTTACACGGCACCTTCAAGTTTCCAAAGCTCTTCCAGGCAGTGCCAATGTCGCTAGCCTTTTTTTATAGATGAGGAAACTGAGGTACTGATGGTGAAGAGGCATTTCTAGGGTCACATAGCTAGCGAGCCTCAGAGCTGGGGTTCAGATGTAGGGCTCTCTTGACTCTGAATCGATTCAGTGGGCTTTCTACCTCACCACAGAGAACCTCAAACGAAGATCAATGATGAAGGCTGAAGCTACCGTCTGGTCTATTTGGCCTCGTTTATCTCCAGACGTTAAACATGACTATTTTCCCTGCCATTGTTGAGGTTGGGAAAGCACTTTCAAAAGAATTGGAGAATCACAGAATTTTAGCTTTGGAAGGGACCTCGGTGGTTGTCTAGTCACCCCAAATAATCCTCACAATAATCCCACGAAGTACCTAATGCAAATGTTCATCCCCAGTGTACAGATGAGGAAAACTGAGGCTTTGAGGAATTCTCTAGTTTTTCAAAGGTAGGAGATCATATTCATTCCACTACATCACATTTTTGTTCACAGCAGAAAGAAAAACTTGACTGTTCAGGGTCTTTGGGAGAAGTTGTATGGCTGCTAGGTTTCAAAAACTCCCCAGCTGCTGAAAAACAGGTATCCTCTATAGAACTTTATCCAGCTGCGTTGATTCTGACTTGTAAAAAATAATTGTGGCAGGACAGAAGGAAATTTCCTGACTTTGTGTCTGTCTCTCTCTCTCCATCCACACAAAGAAAGAAATGTCCCAGAACCTTGTAGGCTTTTAAGCTGACCAGATTGCATCAAGCATTCTCATGGAAAAGGCAACCCTCGAGTCTTCCAAGAGTCCCAGGCTTTCCCTTCCGACATATTTTTCCATCTAGGGCATTGTCTGGTTTTCATCTAAAGCTGCCTTAATATGAAGGATGAACTCTACTGACCTGCAAAACTCATTCTTCCTCACCAGTTCATTAAATAAAAAGAAACAGTACTGAATATTCTTCAGTGAACTTCTGTGATGTCATTTGCTACTGAACTTCATTTATCCTTTAGGTTTACATAGGTTCTGTATTTTCTTTGTAATTTAAAACATTTTACTCGGATAGTGGGTGAGAGCGTTACATTTGGAGTCAGGAGACTCCAGAGAATCAAATCCTGAGCCCCCTCGCTGTCCCCAAGTGATGGCACAGGGTCCATAGCCTGTGTGGGTCAGAGGCAAGATTGAAACTTTGATTTTTCCTGACTTTGAAGCTGACCTTGCTTGTTCTGACTTAGTTTATAATATGGTGGCACTTCTATAAGTCCTATCTACATTTTGCAGATGAAGAAATTAAGACTTGAGGAAAGAGGTAGGTAGGTGGCTTAGTGAGCAGAGGGCTAGATTTAGAGACAGGAAGACCTGAGTTCAAATTCAGCCTCAGACACTTAATAGCCATATGACCCTGAGCAAGTCACTTAACCTTTGTTTGTCTCAATTTCTTTATCCATAAAATGGGGATAATAACAGTAAGTTCCTTCCAGAGTTTTTGTAAAGGTCAAGTGAGATAATATTTGTAAAGTTCTTTACAAAATCTTGAAGTACTACATAAATGCTACTTATTATTATTATTATTAGCAGCAGACTTAAATAATTTGCTTAAAGTCACCCTGAAAATCAGCAGTAGACTCGGGACTAGATCCTAGGGTCCAAGTCTCTGAATTTCTAGATAAATTTTTTCTCCTTGAGGAATTCAACACCAGACTTTCTTTCCTCCTTTTGAACAGTTGTTGTAAGAGGAAAGGAAATGTTCACCTTATACCACACACATTGGCAAAGATGACAAAAATAGAGGAATAGTCAATGCTGGAGGGGTTGTGTGAAGACGGGTACACAGATGAATGTTGTTGGAGCTGTGAAGTAAGTTGGCCACCTAGCTACTTTTTAGAACGTATAGGATATGTCCAGGATTGTAAAAACACCAAAAACTATTCATCATTCATTAAAGAAACACTTATTGTGCACCAACTGTATGCATAGCATTACACAAGAGGCTGTGGAATATGGGGAAAGGAAGAACTAACATTAGTGGAAGGCATGATGATGATATATTTAAAGGGCAAGACTTGGACACTAGAAGACCTGAGTTCAAATCTCATTTTAGATACTTATTAGCTGTGTGACCCTGGGCAAGTCACTTAACATCTGTTTGCCTCGGTTTTCTCATCTGTAAGATAGGGATAACAATAGCACCTACCTCTCAGGTTGTCGTGAGGATCAAAGGAGACAATATTTGTAAAGTGCTCTGCAAACCTTAGAGCGCTTTATAAATGCTTGCCATTTTGAGGATTTTTACGAACTAGTGGAAAGAGAAGACACATGTATTTCCTTCATTTGCCACCAGCTGCCCTGCTTGGTTTCAGTTCCATCATCATCATATCCTTCTCTCCCTTTCTCATGATAAACTCAACCTCAAGGAGATTGTTTGACCTTTGCTACTTATACTTCATCAATACCCTCAGCTGCTTTGGCCCTTCCTCCCAGAGCCTCCATTTACAGAGGGCTCAAAATGTTCCCTCCTCTCTCCCACTCTATAATCCTATAATCCTTATTCATAGCATTTAGGGTTCAAAGCTTGAAGGGACTCATCTAATCAAACCCTGTGACTTAACAGATGAGGAAAATGAGACAAGTGACTTGTCCAAAGTCATTTAGATAGTATGTAGGACTTCTGGAATTTGAACCCACGGCCTTCTGGTTCCAAATATACCCTGGATGTGACCTGGATGTGGCATCCTGGGTCCCTAAGTGATAGAGGTGCCATATTTGGATGGTCACTACAGTCGGTAACTCAAATGTAGGGCTTAGAAGTCCTTAGGAAACATTTTCCATAAAATAACTCTAATGACTATAATGGTCAAACTGTCTTGTTCAGAATGTGCCATAGCGAAGGGGCATGAGTGACCACATTTCCTAAGTCTGATCAAAAATGGAAACATGAACTGGGAAAGACTTACATGAACTGATGCATAGTGAAGTGAACAGAACCAGGAGAATGTTGTACACAGTAACAGCAATATTGTTCAATTAAGAACTGTGAATGACTTAACAATTTTCAGCAATATAATGATCCAAGACAATCCCAAAGGACTAATGATGAAGCATACTATCAGCCTCCAGAGAAAGAACTGATATTGATTGAATATGGGCTGAAGCATGCTATTTTTTACTTTCTTTCATTTTTTCTTTTATTCAAGACATCTTGTACAAAATGACTAATATGGAAATGTTTTACATAATTGTACACGTATAACCTATATCTGATTGCTTAGTGTCTCAGAGAGTGGGGAGGGGAGGGAGGCTGGAATTTGGAACTCAAAACTTTAAATAAAATTGTTGAGTTTTTTTTTTTAATGGAAGTATGATCCTGAGTAGGAATAGCACTTGGATGATTTCAAAGGCTAAACTGGTTCAATAAACCCCCTCTGTTTTAACTCACAGTGACCAAACAGAATCAGAAAACCCTCCAATGGGACAGAGGCTGAAATTCTCAGATTTTTCTACTAATTTCATTTCTGTACCATTTTAGTCTCTGATAGGGGCCATGTCCCACCATGTGGATATTAACAGCCTTTCAAAAATCTCATCACCAAAGCTGGGTTAAGAAGAAAAAAAAATTCCTGCAGTAAATCATGCTATCCTAACAAAATTTCAATGAAACTTGGATGACAACATTCTTTTCACCTTTTCTTTATTCTACCTTTTTAATGCAAGAGATCAGTCAGCCAGCTCAGGCTAAGTCACTACTCTTTTCTTACAGATCACCTTCAGACTCCACAGAGAATTACAAATATCTAAATTTATACACACAAAATAGAAGGGTTTTATGAGCAAATACCTGAACTTTCCCACTCCATCCTGAACTGAGATAAGAATGAATTCAGCATGAAGTAATATCTGCAAATCTCATGAATGTAGCAACCTCTTTTATAGAAGATGAATATGTTTTGCTAAAGACATAAATAAAACAATAGTTGGACCCCGAAATCTCTTTCCTACATATACTGGTCAAAGTTATCCAGTGGACTTATCTGTATCTTCCAAGGAGAGAAGGCCAAGAGAAGGAAGCTAACGAAGGATTTTTTTGGTGACTAAGGTCAGCTATGTACCAACACAGCTTTCTCCAGATTGTGTGTCCAACAGTGAGTGTGGCCACCAGCTGGAGATGCTACATTTGTACATTTGAAGCCTTACCATAAAGTGCCTGGTGAATCACCTGGCAGAAGTTCCACTAGGTAGCTGGACACTGACACAGTTCTGACTCTATGGGAGAATCCATTAGGGAACCCCAGACCCAAACAATTACCTGTCATAGTCTTGGCAGATCTCTCCAACAGCTACCAAGGCCTTCAGGTATTCATTGGGTTGGTAAGGATGGATATAGTGCAGTGAACAGCTGTTCCTGGGATCCCCATTGGATGCAGTGAAGTCTATTGCTACCTGCAGGAGGAAGGAATAGAGAAATGTAATTGTTTGGGACTGTTGTCTTCATATGGGACCGTGGATCAGCGTCTCTTTCTCTCTCTCTGCTTTGAATTTCCCTACTAGTATTGTATATAATTGTATTGCATTGTATATAAAATAAAGTAAATACAAATACACTTCTCTCATCTCTGTGCCTTTTCATTGGCTGTGCCAGATGCCTGAGATGCTCTCCTTCCTAATCTGTACCTCTTAGAATCCTGGATCTTCCTTCAAAACTCAGCTCATGTACCGCATTCTGCATGAAGAAAATTTCTTGACCTCCTACCACAAGATGGTAGCAAACCTTCCCCCCCCCCACAACTACCTTGTCTTTATTTTTCATATTTTCTGCTTTTTTTTAATACATCCATATGTTGTCTTCTCAGTTAGAAGGGCAGGGGCTCAGTTAGAAAGGCAAGGCCTTTTCCCATCTTTGTCTTTGTATCCCTAGAGCCTGATACCTGATAGAGAAGGAAATAAGTTTTTATATAGTGCCTACTATGTGCCAGGCAGTGTGCTAAATGCTTTACAAATATTGTCTTATTTCATCATAATAGGGCCTTAATAAATGTGTGTTGAGTTGCATCTGCCGGCCATCCCCCCAGGCTCTGTCTCCATGTCTCTGCAGACACAGTGTCTTTTTTTTCAGGCCTCTTCCTTGCTCTCTCTGCAGCATCTGATCCTCCTGGCCCTCCTTCGTATTCCCTCTTCTCTCACCTTCACTGATGCTGCTCCGTAGGCGTTCTCTGCTCTGTGCTGTGCCCTCTGCCTCAATCAGCCTCCGTGGAGTCTCCCTTCTCACAACTCTCGAATATTGTAACAGATCAAAAGAGTGAATTTTCCTACAAACTCTTAGCGTGGGGGTGGGTAGGAAGGAGTACCCCCTTTCTTTTGTCTTTGCTCTTGTTTCCCTTCTCCTTTGATGACCTCCTTTCTCTTCTGGCTGATTCCAAATCCCTTACGCATCCCATAAGGCCCATTCCAAGTTTTTATTGGCTCCATGAAATCTCCCCTAGTTGCTTTCGAGGCTATTAAAGGTTGTCTCTTCTAAACAACTTTGGCACTTCTGGTTTGTGCCATCTCATTTAACTCCTAATGATGTCCTGTCTCATGCTGTATACTGCTGGTTATCTCAATTATAGAATCAGAGAAATCTCTATTCAGATCTTCAAGACCAGTGGTCTCATTTTAGAGTAAACTGAGGCTTGGAGAGCTCTGAATGTCAACGATTTATTATGATGGGTTTGTGACTAGGGCCTGGCTCCTTTGAGCCAGAAGTCCAGCCAAATTCTGTGGATGTTGGCAGAATTCTTAGGGCATCTCTGTGGCTGTCCTTCCAGGTTTCCAAAATGATCATTAAATAATAAAGCTAAAAGCATCTCTACTTCTCCTAAATTTGCCCTTGGAAGATTACCTATTACACTGCAGACCAATGATAAAATGCCAACTGCAGTAACTCAATCCAGTTTCCGAGATACAAGTAAAAAATAAATCCTAATACAACAAATCGGGAGAAATGCTCTGTACAGCAAAATGACTTTTGTATGTCTGAGATTGCTATTTAGAAACTATTCTTTCTTAGTCTGTTTATGACTTTTTTTCTTCCAAAAACAAATCCTCTACAAATATTTTCTTTCTCCAGTCTCTGTGTATATAGAGGCAGTCCCTCTCACCAACAAAAGACCTTGAGTGTTAATTTACATTGGAGGCAGAGAGAGGAACCAAGCTTTACCCTGCCACTAAGTGACATTTTCTTTGAGCCTTCTGAATAAAACCAAGACACTGTTCCCAGCCACCCATCCAAATAAAATAGCGAGCAAAATTAGCCAGGAGCTTTGAGGAGAAAGGGAGGGTATCGGAGGCATGCACGGCACCTCTCTCCTGTCCCTAGTTGACTCACAACATTTGTTTGATTGCTTAGTCAGGATACAGAGGCAGGGAGTGTTATTTCTGGCGATATAGCTATTTTTTTTTTAGCAAAATACCATTAATAATTCATGTTTTTATGACACTTTAAGGTTTGTAAACATTTCATCCTTTTCCCCTGTGAGGTAGGTAGGGTGAATATTATTATCCCCATTTTATAGATGAGGAAACGGAGGCTTAGGAAGGTGAAATTACTGACTCAGAATTATAGAATGAGCTCCCTGAGTGCAGGGATGGTCTTTTGCCTCTTTTTATACTCCTGGAGCTTAGCACAGTGCCTGGCACATAACAGGCACTTAATAAATGTTTATTGATTGATAGATACAGCAATGGAAATGTTGGAACTAGGATCTGAAACCAGGACTTTGCTGACTCCAGGCTCGATACATTTTCCGCTAAGCCATAAAACAATTTGTAAGTTCTACCAAATGAATGATGATAATAATAATAATAATGATAACGATTACGTAGTACTTTAAGATTTGCATAACACTTTATATATTTTATCTCATTGGATTCCCAGGACAACCCTGACAGGTAGGTGTTATTATTATCCTCGTTTTACAGATGAGGAAACTGAGGCACACAGAAGTTAAATGATTTGCCCAGAGACACAACTAGTAAGTATCTGAGGATGGATTTGAACTCAGGACTTCCTGACTCTAAGACCAGTGCCCTCTCCACTGGGCCACTAGGTGTCATAGTTATGGATGAACACTGCACATGTAGATCAGGATGGAACAGAAAGGAATGCTGGAGTGAGGTCTCCCTTAAGCATCTCAATAGGTCCATTAGCATCTGCCTCCATAGCTCTACAAGCAAACTGACAAATTTAAAACAATCACTTATACAAACTGACTCTACACCTCTCTGTAGGTGACAGAATAACAGTCTCAGAACTGAAAGGTGCCTCATAGGCCTTGAAGGAGCTGTGTGTGAATCCTGATTCTTCCACTTTCTGCCTAGGGTCTAGGGGAAGGAGAAAGAGCAGGATTTGACATCAGAGGAACTGGGTTCAAATCCCTGCTCTGCCAGCTGAGGGCACAGTGATTAGAGCACTGGGCCTGGAGTAGGGAAGACCTGAGTTCAAATTCAGCCTCAGGTACCTAGCAGCTGTGTGACCTTAGGCAAATCATTTAACCTGTGTTTTCCTCAGTTTCCTCAACTGTGAAATAGGGATAATGGTTGCATTTACTTCCCAGGGATGTTGTGAAAATCAAATGAGATAATTTTCAAGTGGCTAGCACCTAGGAGGCACCTTCCTCCAGGGCCAGAAGAGGGTATGAAGTGAAGGATTTGCAAGTGCATTCAATGACAAAAAAAAAAAGATGAAAGAGAAACCTGGGCAGATTTGTAACTGATGGCAGAGTGAAGTGAGCAGAACCAGGGGAACAATTTATATTATAAAAGCAACACTGTACCAACCATAGCAACCACCTTTGACAGACTTTACAAGTCTGGTCACAGCAATGATCAGTCATGTTCCAGAGGATCCATGGTGAAGAATGATACCCATTTCCTGACTGAGAAGTGATTAACTAAATATGCAGAATAGGATTCATTTTGGGGACATAGCCAATTGCTGACCTATGCCTATCTTGTTCCAAGGGTTTTTCTTTTCTTTCTTTCAGTGGGTGGATGAGTGGTGCTGAGAAAACAAATTCTTGTTTATTGAAAATAAAATAAAATTTAATTTAAAAATGGTGAAGCAATGAGCCATACCCTCTAAACATCCCAGAAGGAGAAACTTTTTATCATGTGTCTTGCCTAACAAAGGGTGCTATAAAGTAGAAGTTAACCAGCAGCTCTTTTTCCAGCTGACATCTCCCAAAACAGGTTGTCTTAATGAGATCTGAGTAAAAATGTACCAGAGGGAATTCGTTGAACTTATCTTCTGGCTCTGGCCATTTGCCAAAATTGTTGGATGCTCTTTAAAAGAAGGAGAGGGAGAGAGACAGAGACACAAAGAGACAGAGAGAAGATGGGGGCGGAGGAGGGGGAGAAAGGGGAAGGAAGAAATGACTAGGAAGTTAGGTGGGTAAGAAAAGGCAAAGAACTCTTGGGATTAAGTGGAGTAGGGGGAAAGAAACAAGGAATCCACCGAAATCTTATGATATTTTATGTATGGTTTATGGACCATGGTGCTTGCTGTGCTGTTTTCTTTAATGCTCATGGATTTGCAAGCCCCAGTATCTTTCTTTTCAGTCAGGATGCCTTATGAAAGCTCTAGGTTCCATGACCTTCTCAGAGGGCAGTTGGAAGGGAGGTCTGAGTCCCATCCACCTTCCAAGAGGCCTCTCTCCTCATTAAGATGGCCTCAAAGCAGCTTTGCGTAACTTGTAAAAGAAGGAAACAGCCAGCTTCTTTTCTAGATTTGGGGGTCCCAAAGTATACAACACCATTTCTCCCTAGGAAACCAGACATGAGCGATGAGCACTCTTGTATTATTTTTTAGTCTCCAACATCAAACAACTTTGCTCTTCCTCTCATACTGCAAACAAACTTTATGAACCCCCTGGTTAGATTTCAAAGGGATGCTGAAAGAAATGAGCCCCTGGTTATTTGCTAGAATTCTAAAACTGTCTGCCTTCCCCAAGGCTTTCCCAAATCATTTGTTGTTCTAGCATATGTGCTTTTAGGTAATGCTGATAATCTGTGCTGCTCTAGCTGAGCTTGGGGTGGTGTTTATTTTTTGGTGTGTGGGGGAGCTTTAAAAAATTATGGGTTACGTTCTTGCTCATTGTCTGTATTCCTCTGCATCTCTGCTGGGTGCGGTGAGAGAAGAATCTAGTCTAGAGAACTGAAGTGCTCCTGATGTCACCTAGGCTATTCTGTAGCCAGAGTGAGCACCATTCTTTTAAGTCCATTGGTCAGGGCTATAATTAGAGGGGTGGCAAATTGAGAGATCACTGATGGCACGTCCTTCAGCAGCCCTAGTTAGCAAGGAGAGTTAGCTAAACTAGCAAGTTTCCAGCTGCAGGACTGGAATAAGCTTCCCCGTCCTCTCCTAGCCTCATGTACAGAGCGGCTTCAGGCATATTGCCTCCCTT